GGCTGGTTCCCTGCGGAGAAGAGAGGAGCTGTCAGCAGGAGAGCGGTGACCGACACACAGCCCCGAAGGCCGAACCTTCCACCGGCGCCCTGCGAAGCGAGAGCTGAGCTGGCACCGGCCCGATGCGCCTGTGAATGTGCCAGGCTATAAATGGAAGGAACGTTACTCATCGGGACACCCACGGGGATTCGGTCCCACAGCCCGAGCACAGCGGGGCTGAAGTGTTACCTGAATTCCTGCGTGGCTACAGAGGTAAAAGTCAAATTCAGAAGGATGCGTGATCGTGCTGTCCACAGTGGTGCCCGCGGGTACGTTGCCGCTCTTACCCACCTATTGAGGAAAGTTTATTATTAGCCCGTGGTTGGTTTTTTTCTGGAAGCGACCCAAAAATACCTCCTAAGGTAGGCTCTACTAAAAGCTGTTTGGGGACTCGATGCTTAAAAAGCTGGAAAAATATTCAGGTCATTTACATAGGAAGAATGAAAATGTTCTCTGCGAGTTCATTTTTAGAAACTTCACCAAATCCAACTGGTGTGTCATCAGAGAAAAATAAAATACTTGCCAATACCATTAAAATTGCAGAGTGGGATAAAGCCTACACAAGAAATTCAGGATCTGAAAATGCAGGTTTTCTGAAATAAATTTATTTCATATCCTTGTTTGCACTCACACCCCAGCTTTTTTTAAGCAAATCTGAGATCAAGAACTTTCCTAAAGAAGGTTTCTTAGTTGGCTCGTGGATTGGTGCCACAGGCAAATCTCACAGATGCATCCAGAGACAGAGCAAGCAACGAACTGAACAACCAGTTCAGTTTGCAGACAGGAATCCTTGACTCTGAAGACCCAGGCTGCTGCTCCAGGTACGCAACCACGGGGCAGGCAGCTCCGGGAAGGGCAGGGAACAAGCTGTTCTGCCTGACTGCTCAATCCACAGCGACGGAAAAGGGAAGGAACTGGTTATTTTGGTAGAGAAAGCCTGCTACTGCACAGAACTGCTGCTGCTCGCACAGCTTCATTTTTAGTGGGCACGATGGATACTACCCCGCTTAACCAAACAACCTCACTTCCCTTTGCCATCATCTCCTCCTTATGTAGTCAACATTACTTGCCCTTTCAGTTTTGTCAGCACAGAATAGCCTGGTGTGGTGCCTTTTCTGCACAACAATGTAGGTTATTCCCGGCCTATAATCTTCTTCCAAACTAATACAGGCCTTCCGGATTGCGATCAGTTCTGGCCAAGCCACCTGGAAAGCAGAAGATGTAACTTTAAGGAGCTGAATTCAGTGTGTATTGTTTTCATTTTCTCCATGTACATATGCCACTCTTTAGGGGACATGGTCAGAGAGGATAACTGTACGTTGTGCTTGCCCAGGAAGACAACAGAACCGCCAACTGTCCCTGCCACAAGCCCGGTCCTCGGAGACACGCGCATTTCCAAGGGCCGGCCCCGTTTCACAAGCAAGAAGAAACAGCCGGGCAGTACCTGCTTCATCTGTCCTTCCGATACTCCCCCTCTGTAGTAAATGATCCTCGTCGGCTTGAAGCGAGTGGATTTGTAGAACTGGATCAAGAGCTCGCGCACCATATTGGTCAGGTCCTGTATCACCTCCTGGCTGTAGAGCAGCTCCTGCGAAGTCTCCTGGCGGGAGGTCTGCACGCGCACGGTGGCGCAGTACCGGCTGGGGGGGCCGGCCCTGCTGCCCACTCGTGGGGGCCCCCTCCATGCTGCCCCCCACCGCCGCGATGGACGGCTTCTTGCCGTCCCCGGCAGGAGGGTGAGTCACGTCTGCTCCCAGAAAGATCACGGGCTGCTGGAACACCGACGGCCTGTTTGACAGGACGAAGGTTTATTAGAACAGGTTGCCCAGAGAGGTGGTGGAGGCTCCATCCCTGGAGATATTCAAGGTCAGGCTGGACGGGGCCCTGAGCAACTTGATCTAGTTAAAGATTAGGGGGCCGGTTAGCTCAGTCAGTTGAGCGTGGCGCTAATAACGCCAAGGTCGCAGGTTCGATTCCCGTTCAGTCCCCACGTGTTGCCTGATCTAGTCAAGAGGTGGCGTCCCAGGTGACAGGGAGGCTGGATTAAAACGATCTCTAAGGTCCCTTCCAGCCTGGGCCATTCTACGATTCTGTGTCCCTGCTCACTGCAGGGGGTTGGACTAGATGACCTTTAAAGGTCCCTGTCAGGACAATGCCTTCTATAATTCTGTAACAGTAACAATACAAAGAGAGGGGGTGAGGAAGGGAAAAAAAAAAAAAGTTGCAGCTGAGGAAGGTGTATCCAAACCAAAGCCCTGTCAGAATCTTTAAGGACAAAGTTCTCTAGAACCAGGACAGTGAGCTTGTTTTCACACACGCTGCTGGCTGGCTCTAACACCCCTCGGCACAGGGCTTACTAGGCAGACTCTGAATGCAGAAACATCCTTCCCTGCCCACTTCTAAAGCACGTAGTATTTCAAAAGGCATCATTTTAGCAAACAAAACACCACCATTTTTTCTTGCCAATGCAGACTTCAAGGAGAGCTTCAGATTTAATCTCACCTTTGATGAGGTACAAGCACATTGTTGATTCCTCCAAGCTTTGCATTTATCTTCAGACACAGGTTGGACAGCGTTTGGGGCGAAGTTTTTACCACGTTCTTTACCTGCACACACTGAGTGGCCATTCCGAGAAGAGTGTCACCAACTCGCTTTACTTCAGCTGTGACAGAAAAATCAGTTCATGGTTCCGACTACCTGAACAGTCAGTAGCTCCATCTGCTTTCTCTCTCTCCCTCCCCCGCCCGCCAAGTGTTATCGTAATTCAGATCTTTAAAAGTTCCCTGGCAAAGGTTCAGCTCACTCTTCGACAATACACAAGAACTCCAACCAGGCCTGACGAACCCATCTCCAAACCCCCTTTTTCAAACGGAGCGCAAGTTAACACTTCCCAGCCTCGTCTCCATACCGTACACAGGCGTCTTCCCGGGCAGGATCACCACGATCAGCTGCAGACCAACGTAAGTGAGTTTTAAGTGTTTGAACATGGGCTCCACGCTGTCTGCGCCCTGGGCGTATTTGCAGAAGCAGGGCTGCCCTTGGATCGGCATCCCCGCGTCCTTGGAGATCTTGCGCAGCTGGTCCGTGAAACTCCTGTCAAGGAAACATAACCGGATCTGTCCCAGCCTTTTCACTACGTCTCCCTGTGCCAGCAATTTGAAGGGCAGCGAAAAAAACCCAAAGATACGGTGTCTGTTCCCTGGGAGGCAGTGAGGGTTAAGAGAAAAAATACTTCTGGTTTTAGAAGGAAAGGCCACCATCAGCTATTCGTAAAAATAAGAGAATACAAGTGGAATGCAGCTTCCCGAGCAGCAAGCACAGCCTCCGTGGTGAGGGAATTAATGCTTTTCCTAGCAGGCCAATTAGGTTATGAACTTGGTTGTAGTCTCCTCCCGAGCTGTAAGTATTTAAGAGACTGCAGAACTGTAGATTCCCCTTTTTACTATTAGATGTGTTAAAACGAACATAAACCACCTATCGCCTTTTGGAAATTTGAGGAAAATAAACCTTGGAAAAGGTATCCCGAATAAACAGGAGAACACTTACTTTAGTAAATCTTCCCTGCATTGCTTTTGAGGAGCAAAACAGGCAACAGCCCAAACTTTAATCTCAATGCCGGCATAGAACTGTTTCCCTCTCATGTCCCACACACCTTGGTTTGGTGTGGCCACAGTCTTGTTCTAGGTAAAAAACAAAGGCAAATTAAAAACGAAATGCTGCTTTGTTTTTATTACAGACGAATAGCGCTCACACGAAGGAAGCCCTACGAGAAGACCTATGAAACAGTCGATGAATTTAAACCACCTCAGGACAAGGTATTTTACAAAGGCACAGACAACTCACCCTCCCTCCATACTGCAGCATCGGGGCTGGCAAAACCCTGCCTGTCAGCTCGGTCATCTCGTTATGGACAACGATCCCAAACTCCTTCAGGTATGGATCAGGTCCCCCAACCATGCTGTTGCTTTTCACCTGGTGACAAGGAAGGTATTTATGGAACTACACCGAATGCTTCAGGTCTCTTTGCCACGAACAGGCTTCCTATTTAAAAGCATTCGTTTTAACGAAGTCAGACTTTTCAACCTCCGCAGATCTTGGTCACTCTGCTTACCGCTCCACGTGCTCCAACGCTTCTGGAAGGGCCGTAAGAAGTAACAAAATGGGGAAAAAAACCCACTCACTAGTCTGCTGATCTCTTCCTGTCGGTCTGGAGCGGATCTTGCCGTCGCTTTTATCATAGTCGACGTCTGATTGTCCGTTAGCTTCTTGATGCACCTCTGGCCTGCCACGATGTTACACACCTGCCGAGGGCAGCGAGCCGTGGCGTGACACCGCTCAACAGAGAATGTACCCCAGGAAGAGAGAAAGTTAAGGTTCTTACCTCAAGCGGCAAGTAGGTGTGTTTCTGTTCCTGTCCTACTTGGAGGCAGGGCAGGTGAGGGTATTTTAGCTGCAGACTGTACTTCTGCTTAAAATACTGAGCTACTGTACACTCCATAGCCTGCCCATTTTCCAGCTGCAGAGGAAACCTATAAAGGACATTTGTTCTGGTTAGACTTTTCAAGATTTTTTTTTTTTAAAAGGGAAAAAAAATGGTATGGAAAAATCTATTCCAGACTAGAAATGCTGGCAATATTTATTTTCCTTAGCTACTGGATCTCTTCTTCATGAAAAGATTTTATCAATTATAAACAGAATTTTTCATAGCTATTTCAGAAATTATAGCCTTTCATAACTATTTAAAAGCCAGGCTAGAGCTTCAATTTTCCTGTGCTGAAGGAAACAAAGCAGTGGCCTAAACCCACACTAGCTCTCCACTAAACTAAGACTAAACTATTCTTGTAAAGTCACGCAACAGCTGCTTTGCCTCCAGAACCAACTCTTCTCACATAAACAGTTCACCTAGTACATCCAACAGAACCAGATTTCCTAAATGGCCAGAAAGTGCTTCTATACGTACGTCTGGTGACTGGCTGGTCGCCGAGTAACGTTGCAAACTCGGTATTTTCTCTTCATCTGGCCACAATGGGTAACCTCTACTTTCAGACCTGAAAATCCAACACAGAATTCATCTGAATGAATTCTGGCACAGGAGTCACCTCGGAGAAAGACGATGGCAAAGTGGGACAGGCCAGCTGCCCAAGCGCCTCGCAGGTTTTCACTGCAACATAATATGAGCAGGTTTCCAGCGCTTTGTTGCAGCAGCCCTAGAACAAGCCTTTACCTCTGATTTCTTTGGTAAACTTGACACGCTGGGAGTCCGTCAGAGGTTTCGTTTGTTCATTGATGTTCTGAATGTCCAAGACCTCACACATGAACTCAATGATAGGCTGGGCACGATAGAAAGCAGTTGCTGACACTAAGATAAAAAAAGAGGACATTTGATTTAGAAGCAGGAAGAACTCTGTTACAATAGCGAGCCAGAATTCCCTACATACCGTCGATGTTGAGCATCATGTTCCACATGGCAGGTCTGACCGACTGGTGGAAACCGAACCAGACCTCCCTGCCGCCTCCCAGAGGGTGGTAGTAACCTTCCGGGGGGGAGAAAAAGGAGCGGCCAACAGGTGTGTACCTGAGGAAGAAAGAAGAGAAAATTAATACTTTGATCGCTCCTTTCTCGTACACCTTTTTACATCCATGCCTATGGTGTTTAAAACACATTCCTGCAGCACATTAGAACAGTCAGAGCCAACTTCGGGCAAGCACACACAGCCTTCCCCCACAGCACGGCCGGAAAGGCTGCTGCACATTCCCGTTAGAAACATGACCGGCAGCTACGGTCCGAGTTCAGATCAGATTTCCCTGTTCTAGGGCAAATTTGTAAGGCAAGTGTGGAGTTACACATCCGCATCCCTCATCCCGTTGGCTGTAGGAGGGTGTAGCAGGGGTAGAAGAACAGCAGCGAGTAATAACTGACACGAACGTCAAGACAGAGGCGAGGCACAGCCAGCGAGGAAGGCTCCAGAATTACCCACCTCATGGAGGGAAGGTGCCGCGTGATTACGTCAAGCGCCTGCACCGAATCCTCGGGAACTTCGTTCAGGTGCCCTGCCAGAGCTTCCAGCAGCAGCTGAAGGCTGACGACCGACACCCACTGAATGGAGACTTTAAACGTCTGGTCCTTCCCCTCCCCTGGCAGTGTCACCTCCATGTCCACCTGGCAGTGCCAGAACAAAACGAAGCACGAGCTTTTGTTAGGGACTGCAGGCTATCACACGGCTAAGCATCCTCACGTTTTCCTCGTAAGTATCCTCCGAATCCGTATTTTTGATGATTAGTTTGTGTACTCCTTTTAAAATGTTACAACCGGTTTTCCTTAGGATTTCAAAAGCTTGCAATTTAATCATCTGAGAAACTGCACTGAGGTACCTTTAAGTGTAAATTTTAAGCGGTAATTAGTACGATGGCATCAGAGCTCTGGGGAACTGTGAGTCATTTTTAAGTCAGCCAATTAATGGCAAGATATCTTGTGAACCAAACGGGAAGTCAAGGAAAGCTTTTGGTCAAAAAGAAGACTCACTGGGAAACATAAATATCAGTTCTAGCATATCACTTGAGCTTATTCTCACAGACCGTCAGCCCAAAGAATAAATCTGAACCCATCGGATGCACTCCTCGTGGCACTGAGCCAGCAATAACCAGGCCCCCAGGGAGAAGAGTGGAGGACGTTAAGTCCTGTATCGGGACCAGTTGATGCAGATCTGAACACGAAGGGGCAGCGCAGCTGATCCGCTTGTTCTCACGGAACAGGAGGACGTATCTCAACAGCGCAGCCAAACCAAACCAGCATATTTGTCATCTACAACTACTTTATCATTTAGCAGCAGAACATGGGTTAGAGCAGAGAAAAGGGAAGTTTCGATCAGGGTGGGGAAAACCCAAATAAATCTACTTGCAGCTGAAAGAGCACAAGATAATTAGCTCACCCTATCCCTGACAAATTCTCCAACTGAAGAGCTTGGAAACCTCAAGACACTAAACTTCAGGAAAACATCCAAAAGTTCCCAGAGATCCCTGACTGGCACCGCCTGTCAGTTCCCAGGCTGTACTAATGCACGTGACAGCATTTTGGGTTTATGTCAGTAAAAGAACGCTCTTCAATGACGCTCTAACAATCTTCCCAGAGAAATTACAAACGGCTTGTAGCAACGCTTACTCTGTCCCGGCCGATGGGTAGCGGGTGTGCGGTGTACATGTTCCGTTTCCCATCGTAGCCAGGCTGCCGATCACCAAATATCTGCATCTTGAAGTGTCTCACCATGGTATCCACCACCTCTCTGCAGAGGGATTTATTGAGTTAGGTCGAAGAACACAAAATCAGCAATGGTCTTAGGCAGCCTAAAATCCCTTTTTCACATCTTCTTAAATGAGCCAAGCAGGAGGCACAGCAGTGCACCGGAGCACACCCAAGCCAACGCCAGGAGTTTTAAGTGACACCCAAGTTTCACCACAGAGTGCATTTCCTAAAGCCTTCCGGATTGAAGGCCAATTGCAAAACATCTCAAAGAAAACGAGAATACTACCAGCAACTGCTGACTGTGGTACGAACAGAAAGTGCTCTGCAGCAGACGAAGAATTTCTAGGGTGCAGTTTTCTGAAATCAAGGCATATACAACTTTAACGGCTTTTTTCTTATTAAACAGCTCATACCTGTTCACTCTTCGGGGGCGTTTTTCTGGTTTGATATCTACATCATAGTGATAAACATCAATCTTGGGGATCTGAACCTGGAAATGATTGGCCAGGAGGCGGATGGGTTTCCCAACCGTTCCCAGGCCAGGGCGACGGGGCGGCTGGAAAAGGCTTGTCGGGGGCCCTGGGGAAGTCAAAGAAAGATGTATGAGGTGCAAGCGCAGTATCCTCCCGGGTGTACTTCAGCCCCCTCTCTGACAGTGCAGAAAGAAATCTTGAGTAGCTTTCTGAGGTGGAAACGGAGGTGTTCCAAGCGGCTCAGCCTTCCAGCTGCTCGGAAATTCCAGGTTCAAACCCACGTTCCCTAAAGCACGTTCAGGTCACTGCCAGAATTCACGCTCAAAATCTCAGACGCATCTATTCACGACTGCGGGTATGAACTTCGCGGAGTCCTGAGATGGAATGTGACCATGTACATATTACGTATTTTTACCCAGCGTAAAGGTAAATACACCCCTACCACCTTTTCTAGCACCAGCCAGTAGCCACACCAGCCACATTTTTTCATTGGTTTCAGCACAGGCTTAAAGTTCAGATGTTAATGATCATCACTCTCGGCATACTTAGGACGTGCATTCCCAATTTCTACCTGAAAACTGATATTATCTGGAAATGGGTAAAGGATATTTTTGTTTTAAACTAAATTACAAAGATATTTCTGTACTGTGTCTAAGCTAAAACAGTTTTGTCGTTTCCTTTGCGCCGTAAGCACATCACTTTCGTTAATAACAACATGCTCTTCCCCTAGAACACAATTTTAGCCAATTTAAAATTCCAGTGAGGAAAGGTCAGGCCTTCTTCTAAAAAGAAGAGTAAGGGAAAGGCATGAGGACAGGTAGGGGCTCCTAACAGATGTGGAAAAGACAATTTATTTGGACAAAAGAGCTTCAGGAACAGTTCTACAGAGGAAATTCTTAGAGCCTTGGAAACGTACTTGTGCTGTACCTATACATTCGTTAAGCCTTTAGTTAACTTCCTTAAAGTGTTAAGATCTGAGATACCACGTTAACAAGATTAAACAGACTTTTTAAAAAAACTAAAAATCTATCACCGCCTCAGTTGACGCTGCATGTGAAGTAAATTGCAACAGTGTGTTCTCACGGGTTTTATCTGTATCTGCCAGAGCTTCTCCCCTCCGCTGCAGAGCAGCAAAGGAGAGGGGAAAAGCCTTACACGAATGCAACAACAAACCAATCACAGAACTTCGGGCAAATTTAGTATCACAAAACTGTGTCAAACTGCCAGCATCCATTTCAGTCAGGGGCTCACAGTTCACACCGGGAGGGAAGAGAGGCAGGTCAGCCGTGGGAGGATGAAACTCCTATTTGGGGACACTTCAGGGTGCAACAGGAAACTTTAACACCATCGCGAGCTAAACCCAGGACCCAAACCAAGGAGTCTTCTATGCTGGGGTTACAACCCTCCCAACAGCTACTCCATCGCCAACTAAAACCGAACCCGGAATATCTGGAAGGAGAAGTAACCCCAGAGCAGGTGAGCAGCTGCCGGGGCCACCGACATCCCACCCGACACGTCACGGGCTCCGCGCCCGCCTGACGAACCGCAAGCCGCCCCGGGGGAGCGCGCAGCGCCGCAGCCCAGCCGGTCGGGGGGTACAGCGAGCCCTCAAAAAACTCCAGCTGTCATGACAAATGTGAATCGTGGAGGGCAATAAAGTTTGCTGTGCTTATTTGGATACTGGAGAGATGATCCATTAATCCCACGCTAATTAGTCTGAAGTAAGTGCAGGCACTGACCTCCTGCAAGAGATTAAATGACAACTATATTTACCCATTTTCCTGCCTCGCTATCGACACGTTCTGTAAACAGGCACGGCGACACCAGTTTAGGAAGGAGATAAGGCTTACACCTTCTCCTTTCTAAAGCTGTTTCTCAAAGGATTCCGGAGAACGAGCTAAAAACCATTTTCCCATTTGAAGCCAGGCTGTCACGCGTCTTGTACCAAGATTTTCACCTGAACGGGCGCTCTCTTTTAATTTCTTCTACTGGATGAGGTACAAAGTCCCCTTGCGACCGAGCGACTTGAGAGAGGAAGCTGCCTCAAAAACCTAAAAGAGGATCTAACTCC